CCTCGGAGGCCATTGTAAGGAGGAAAGTAAGTAGGGCGCTATTGAATGATTTTGCTCAGAGGAGTGACATGGTCTCACTGCTGTTTTAAACAGATCGATCTGGTTGCTTTGTTGCAGATAGATTGTAGGGGACAAGGTGAAGGCTGGGGAGACCAGTTAGGAGGCTGTTGAAGCAATCCAAGCAAGAGATAGTATGACTTGCACCAGCAGGGATAGGAATATGGGGAAATAATTGGATTCTGGATATTTTTTTGAAAGTAGATTTAACAGAATTTCCTGACAGATTGGATGTGGGATGGAAACAAAAGAGAGAAGTCAAGGAGAACGTCAAAGCTTTTGGTCTGAGCAGTTATAAGAATGGAATTGCCATCACTGACTTTGGGAGCACCCCTGTCTCCAAGTGTCTTTATAAATAATATTTCATACCACCCAAATGAGCGGTAGCCTCTGCAGTGGCTGCAGGAACCCACACACAACCTGGCCCTCCCTGCAAAGATTCTAAACAATTTCCTAAGTCCTCTCCCTTTTTTTCTCTCCTCTTTTCCTCTCCCTTTTTCTTCTCCCTCCCCTCTCCCACTCTCTCTCCCTCTCCCTCTCCCAACTCAAAAGGTCCTTCTTGCTTCAGAAATCCTGCAGAGTCCTTCCAGAAGTTGAAGGACTTATATTAATGTACTCTCCTCTGCTGCCTCCCCAGCCCATGTCATCCCCCTATGCTGCCACCAGGTGGCAGTGCACTGCTGAACATTGAGCTGTTGGGACCTGCCTTCTCCGCAGAGGCCGGAGAGGGCGGACTTTAGAATGGCTGATAGAGTGGAGATTTCTAGCATATTTAAAGACTGATCTGGCATGGGAAAGATGAGAGTTGTCTCCAGTTCTTTTTTAGAAACATCATCTATCCTTGCCAGGGATGGTTTTCATCCCCAGAGTTTGAAAAGGCACTACATGGCTTTAGAGCAGTCTTTCCACCTAGTATAGTGTTTTTATTTAGACTATTTACCAAACACCTTGCTGAGTTTGCGGTACTGCCGTATCTGTTTTATATGCCCTTCTTGGTTTGAGATGGGTAGAACAGCTTTCTAGAAGTTTTGCCTTCCCAGAAGTAAAATCCTTCTTGAATGAATATTGACGGAGTAGTTCCTGTGTGCAAAATTTGGACTAAGTTTTATAAAGAATACAACTAAGGAAAGAAATTGCCCTTTTGTCTTGAGAAGTATTTTGTGCAGTTGAAGAGGCAAAAGAATAAATACTGGAAACCTTAGGAGTTAATTAATAAAAGTGTCACTGGGCAGTGCAGGTTAGGGCTGAAAAGAGGCCTCTTGGTTAAGTCTACTTTATAGACTAGTTAGATTCCCAGCCCCTCTACCATATCCTGATTGAAAACCCAAGATTTGCCCACCGTAAAGGTTGAACTAAACAGGTTTTAGCTTTGGGAACACGAAGCCAGACTGTAGATGGGGTAAGACATTGCCCTGAAAACAGAGGGATTGGGGGAGTGAATAACTACCCTTTGTCCCCACAACATTCATCACCTAGGCCTCCTTTCCAATCAGTTCCCAGAATCCCACACTGTATCCCCCAGGCAGGAGACTGCAGATTAGCTTTGAAGACACTGATTTGCTCAGGAGCATACAACCATAGGTTCAGACACTTAGGATTTCCCCCAGCGATATCATCAAGTCCTGACTGTTTTACCCTCCACTTGAAACTCCCTCAAGCATTCAGAATGACAGTAGAGCAGTGTCCTCAGACTGATTCTCATAGGCCCTTTCTCAGAGGATGTGCTCCACCAAAACAAGGGGGACCCAAGAAGGAGGAAGGCTCTGGTCTTGGAATTCTCAGGGGGGCAGTGAAGAGAGTTCTGGTGTGAAGACCACGGTATACAGCAGGACTGGAGAAAACCAGTTGGGAGTGGATCAGGGGCACAGAACTAACTCCAAAAGAGATGGCACTAAGAAAGCAGCGGAGATGGTAAACTGCCCCAGGTGTTTGGCCAAACCGAGGGTACCATCGGGAACTTCAAAACCCTGTATATATATTGCTTTGAGTTATGCACAAGTAGATAGATAGATAGATAGATAGATAGACAGACAGACAGACAGACAGACAGACAGACAAGACAAGTGCTTTGAATGTGGGGGAAGGAGAGATCTCTGGACTAGAGTGTTGGGGCGAGGGTGGTGGCTTCTCCAAAAAGGTAGGAGAATATGAAGAGAGGAAGACAGCATGGGAAAAAGTAAGGAAGTTGGAAAGTGCAGAACATGTACAGACAAATGGAGGGTGTGTTTTGACATGAATCGCAACAGAAAATTGGGAAAGAAATCTGCTAAATTACAAATTATTCCCATTTTAGAAACTCGAGGTCATTGTAGAATGTTTTCAGTTGTAGGAAGGATTTAAGTGATCTGAAGGGTGTACATAGAGGGTAGAGAGATCATCTCTGAGATGTGGATAATGGTTGATTTTTGTTTTTCTCTTTGAACATTTTCTGTATTTTCTAAGATTACAATTAAAGAACAATGGAAGTTATTTTTTAGAAACAAAGCCAAGAAGAGATAAAAGCCCCGGTGGAAGTAATATCCTATTGATATGAAATATTTTTTAAATAACCCGAACATGTATCATAAACATCAATATTTTAGGACCAGTCTAGTTGTATTTTGGAAGTGCATTAGTTTTTCTGTTATTTTAGTAAATAGGCGTTCTTTCGAATTGCGTCCCTTCGCCCGTATATATGTATGCAGCGCTGACTGGTGGAGATTGCAGCATTTATCAGTCAGTACCTCTTACATGACATATGCTTCCATTACACGACACCTGCTGACTTCACACAGTGGACTGAGGCTGTGCGTAACTACTGAAACTTCCAACTTCTTTGTTTGTATCTGTCATAATTCTCAGGCACTTCTAAAAGAAATAAGTGTGTAAACTATATAATTACAATTGTGGGGTTTCGCTTCAGTTCCTAAGTTATGTATTACAACCCATGGTTTAACATAATTATATTTTTAGAATGTGACTAATGTATATGTGTACTTTAATCTTTTATAATGGACCTTTACTGTGTTCAGTTATAGGTAAAGGTAAAAAAAAAAAAACCTCTAATTTGAAAGATAATTCCAAGTAAATAGATGAATAAGAAAATAACTGTAATTTATTGCAAATAAAAAACCTAATGGGGCTATTTCAGTGAATAAATGGTTATTTTCAAACAGTACACCAGATAGATGTATACATGGTTCTAAACTATTTTACATAGCTTACTCTCTTAAATTTCTTTCTAAACCTTAATTATCTCATGTCCCATCTCTCTAAGAAAGGCAAGTTAGATTAAACTTTCTTTGAATCAGACTTTGAACTGATAGAATTGAAATAACTATGATTAACATTACAGTTTTTTCAACCTTCTGGTAATTTAGCCAGTTTCCCTGTGTCAGTTAAATTTGCACAGAATTCTTAAAACATGCAGAGCTTCTGCAAAAAACCTAACCCTAACCCTAATCCCAGCTTTATATTTTTTGCACTAGACTATTTAAGCAAGAAGAAAGTCTCTTACAGCATATAGGAGAAAGAGGGAGGGAGAGATGTAGCTTCTTTTTCCTAGAAGTCCCAGGAAACAGCTGTCTGATGGTCTCAAATTTGATTGTATCCCCATCTTTCAGCCAATCATTTTGGCCAGGGGCGAGGGTTATTCAATGTTAATGATGCTGTCCCAGACCTACTGTTGTAGCTGAAGGTTGGGGGTGAAGGAGATGGAGCTGAAATTCCACCAAAATCATCTGACCGAGAATGTGAGAGGATTGGATTACCCAAAGAAAAACTGGATTACTGTGGACAAAAGAAGGATACAGTAAAAGGCTGGGAAGAGGACAACTAGTATTTATTATAAAGGACTTTAGAAATCTTTTGGGTGAGAGTCTCATAATTGTATCAAGAACAAATGACTTTTTTATTTTCCTGAAGCCTGAGACCTCCAGGCAAGGAGGGGCTTCTCAAGGCAAAGTGAGGAGTAGCTGCGAGCCCTTGGGGGTGAGATGCTGCGGCCTGGTTTGTCTGTGACAATTCAGATTTGAGAGCCAATTGTAGGGCCACTGCGGCTCCTTGGTGATTCCTAATCTCCAAGACCTCCATGCCTCACAGTGAGAGACTGGGGCCCAGAGGAAGAGACTGTCAGCAGGACCCAGTCTGGAACTGATCGCTCCTTCATTCCTTCGTGGCACTTCATCAGCTCCCATGGAGAGCAGCTGCCACATATTTGAAGGACATGCATATAAAACATGTTTTGGTGTGGTAGGTTGTGGTCATCTTGATTTCAGAATGATTGGTTGAACCATCCAACATTTTTCTTTTCAAATTTGCTATTCTTTTGCATTGTTGAAGAAAAGTTATGAAAGAAAGCTGAAATCATTTTTGATTAAGTAAAATTTTTATTTCCAAGATTCTGCAGTAGTGTGGCATTCATTAAATAATAAATGCGTTGTATGTCCCAGTGTGTGGTAACAGCAAAGAATGACTTCATAGACCGCTTGATCTGCTCTGTTGTGGTTTATGATGCCGTCTGGATTCCTTGGTGGAATTGTTTCCATCTAAATCACTATAAACTTCTATTAGCTTGTCACAAATCTAAAGCCAGATATGTTTGTGGTTTTTAGCAGTGATGTAATTCTGGAAGATACTTTGCAAGTTACAAGTTGTCATATACCATTAGCATTTAACTCACTTTCACATAATTTCAGACAAACTAGAAGCCTGAAAAAATTCATTTTTCCACTTCTTTTTTTATTCTTAAGCATTCTACCTTTGTTGTCTCTCTTACCACTTAGTTATGCATCAATCAAGTATGTCCGGGGAACTCCGGGAGGCTCTGTGGGCATACACAGTACTATAGGTCATGGTCCCTGCCATTTCTTAATTAGGAAGCTCAAATAGAAAGGGTGTTTCACTAACTACGTGGTGCAGAGAGAATAAGAGTTTCACTTCTTTATCTTTTATACTCCTGCCAGTCGTGTGAGAGAGACGGGATCATGTTACAGGACACTCGTGTGCTGCAGGATATACACGTTGAACTGCACGAAAAGAAAGGACTCAACGGAAACTTAGTTTCTAGACGGGTATCACTGGCTGGCTATCAGGTAGGAGCAATAGCAAAACAGCAGAACTTGCCAGAAGGGACTTGGGGCCGAAGGTTCAACAGAAACGTCTGAACTGAGGCTCTATGTTTTTATTCTGGCTTTTTCCCCAGAAAGTCTCGGGGGGAAGGGAGGGAGCCATTGGTAACAGTGGTAGGTGGGGTTGGCGTGCCAAACCTACCGTGCAGAACAGGGCACAAAGGACAAAGAGCGGGAAGGAGGCAGGGATCTCCGTTTCCATAGAGCCAGGAACAGGGACACTAAGCTCTAGGGTTGGAGGCTGTAGATATGTAGGGTAGATAAGGTGAAGTCAGAAGAAAAGGAAATGGGTCAGGATGGGTAGCTGCCTATATATAGAAGCATTAGGAGGCAGGGAGCACAGCTCCAGAGGAAGCTGCTTCAGTTAATTCCGTGTTGAGGACGGTGAGCTCCTTTGTGTGAAGCAGAGATCCAAGAAGAGCCTATAGTGGGGTGGGTCAGGAGCATATTTCAGTACACTTGGAAGACCTGGGTTCAAGTCCTGGCTCTACACATTTGGATTTTGTCACCTTGGGAAAGTTCAGACTCCTCATTTGTGAAATGAGGTGGTGGGGTTAGTTTGTCTCTTAAGACAGTCTTGCAATGCTCTGAGGTAAGGAGAGCACCTTCCCATCTTAGACCACAGACTGGACTTCTGGAAACTGTAATGATAGTCATTTATCTATTTAGCAAACACTGACCGAGTACCCATTACTTCTATGCTCTGGAATTATAGTTGTGAGCAACGTGAAATCCTTTCTTGTCATGAAGCTTGCATTCGGCGGAGAGAGGCAATCAGACACATAAATGAACAGTTAATTTGAGGTACTAATAATTGCTATGAACAGTGTGGTGGAGAGTGACCATGCATTGGGGGGCGGGCCTGGTGGGGAAAACAGGATCCTCTCTAACGAGATAATGTTCAGGCGAGGCCTGATTTGCAGGAGGGAGCCAACAGCGAGCCAGTCTGGGGGCAAAGTAGACTGTTCAGAATGAACAGAAAAGGCCCTCAGGAAGGAATGAGTGTGACGCGTTCACACAGTGGAAGGAAGACCTGTGTGGCTCAAGTGAGTGAACAAGGCGCCATTAGAGCTGGACGCCAGGTTACATGGGGCCTTGGGGGCAATTGTGAGGAATTTGGATTTTATTGCAAGTGCATTGATAAGCAAGCCTTTGGAGAGTTTTAAGCAAGAGAATGAAAGGAAAGGTCTGCTGTATGTTATAAAAAGATTACTCAGGAGATTCTCTAGAGAATCTGTAGGGGACCAAGAGGAGAAGCAGAGCCAAGTTAAGAAGCTATCGGAGTCATGGTGAAGAAGGCTATGGCCTGCACCAGGGAGCAGCAAGGACGTTGGGGTAGGTGGGTAGACGTGGGATGTATATAGAGGTTTTGGAAGAAGGAAACATGGTGCAGTTCCCCCCACCCTCGTCCCTGCCAACCCCAACATAGCTCTTTATGATCTTCATATCTATGTAGGAAATCTGTTTATAATAGATTCTACTGCTCACTTGTCAATTCCTGGCTTGACAATGCCGGAACAGCAAGTTTAAGTGGTGAATATGATAGTTCAGTTTTAGTTGTTACAGAAAAAGCCTAGTGAACAGAGGAACACTAAAACAAGTATATGCTTCTCGGCCCCAGGAGAATGGATGGAGAGCCAGTTTAGCAGTCCACAGTGTCCCTCAAAGGAAGAACTGTCCCTGTGTCTCTATAGGCGTTCCGGAGAAGTCTGACCCTGGTTGGGTCATTTGGTCACTCTGAACCACATGTTGGGCCTGGGGGTAAGGGTAAGATGATGGATGAAGCATTCTTTATGTCCCGCATGCCATTAATAGAACATGAAAGAGAGTCAGGGACACTTCCCTCAAGGCAAAGGTACAGAGTAACAAAAACAGTATGCCTATAAAGATGTTTTCACTTGGATTTCTCCAGATGCCACAGCCCCTGGGGAATGCCTGGCCCAAGGTCATAGCCAAGCCTGATTGTTGCTCTCTGAGACTCTGTTCCATTTCTTTGTCTTAAATGGAACTTTTGTTAAGATCAAAATACAAGCCTTCTATTGAAAAACTTTTTCATCGACTTCTTAAAATATTCGATTATTTTCTAAAACTGTATAAATAAAAACTCTCTTAAGATTTTGCCATAGCCTGGCTCTCTGTTTTCTTTAGGTGACACAGGACACCAGATACCCCAGCACCCGCTTCTAAGTGTCAGTCATAGCTAATCTGAGGGTACTGTGCCTATCCGGGTGGCCCCAGGTTCATGTCCGCTTGACTGCGCTTTTTATTGTATTTAAATGTGTTTGGTAGTACAGGTCCACAGTCTCTGATCTGAAATTCTAAAAAGCTCTGAAAACGGAAGAAACATTCCAAGTTTGTCACAGGTTTATTTAACAGCACAACTTGATTTGAATTGGCCTGAGCCTTTTAGTCTTTATTCTACTTAGTGCGAATAATCGTGTTTTGCTGTAGACATATTGATATGTTTGGTTATTTCCCCAAAACTAAAAGAAGGATATTATGTAGTATATATGCACCATATTATTCATTTGAAACACTTCTAACCCAAATGGTTTTTGATAAGAGATTTTGGCTCCATGGTGCTATTTTGCCTATTACATATTTTTCAATTAATATTCTCCACAGACTAGGCAAGCACAAACCTCAAACAAAATTCTTTACGATTTCCCCCCACTTCATTAATGCTTGTATGGCCTTGTAGTTTGGTAACTATTCAATATTATAGTCTAGTTAACATTTATTACCATACTCCTTAATCTTGGCGGGAAAAACGTCGATTTAATAAATGATTAATAAATAAAAATAAATACCACATTGAGCCCAAATCTTTCTTTCTCCACTAGTACCACATGGAAGGAGGAGGAAGTATTCTTTATCATCATATGTGACACAGAGTGGTCACATGTGCAGCCCATTTTCATTTTATGCTGAGTGTATAAGGACTGCACTTCTGCCCTCCTAGAGCATAATGGAAGTCTCCAGACACAATTTCATGCCTCTTTCTAAATGCTGAAAAATTTAGAACCAGTAGCTGTGTGTATTAACTAGTTTAGGAAAAGCTTTTCTATTCTCAAGGAGCATATTGTTTCTCAAAGCCAAAGGAGAGATGGGGAGGGGACTATGTTAAATATTTAATCCTTTACTCTCTGATTTAACCTGTGTGGTAGCCAGATGCCAAGAAACCCTCAATCATTCTCTTCTGCCATTCAAGCCCTTGTGCAGCCTCATCTGTATCAAATAGGGTTAAATAGGTATCCACAGTCTTTGTCAATCAGGTAGGGGGGAAATGACTCATTGTTTTCCTTTGTGTCGAATTGTTAACCATCTTTTCATATGTTTATTAGTTAGTTATTTGTGTTTCTTCTGTTTGGAATTGTCAGTCCATCTCCTCTTTCCATCTTGGTACCAGGTTATTTGACTTATGTGTTGATTTGTGAGAACTCTGTAGATCAGCGCGTTAAGTTCTTTGCCTAAAATATATTTTATAGAAAATTTTCCCCAACTTATTGTCAAAACTGACTAACGTTTTTGAATCATATATAGGAATTTTTCTGTCGTAACCCAATGATGTGTGTTATATAAAGCATGAAAAAGACTTTATAACTTAATTTAAAAGTAGTTGGATTGAAAATTTTAAATCAAGAAAGCATTTCCTATTATACATGTGTTAACTGTTACAATGTTTAACTCTGGTATCGGTGGCCCAGTTGATTTGAATTTTTACTATTTCCTTCTAGTTCCCCAAATACTATATCCACCGTATTCCCAGAAGCCGTGAGGTGCAGCAGTCCTGGCTGTCCACGGTGCTCTCCACCTTGTACTCCATGTGGCTCTCCTTTCCCCTGACTTACCGAGTGAAGCCAGATTTGGTACGTATGCCCATCGCTCCTGCAGATTATTCATAAGTAACAGGAAATATTGTTTTCTTAAACAGCTACCATTTATCAGCCTGCCAGATACGATACTAGACCTTTTAATGATGTATGCTAAAATTTATCACTTAAATGCCCTTGCTGAAAGAGGGGAGAAATTTCTTTCCTTTCTAGCTGTTGCTTGTAATCGAAATGTGCCCTTTTCTCTTCTTTGTCCCGTGACACCCACAGAGCAGTATCTTTAACCAGTTTGCGCTCCTATCCACCTGTGGTTCCTGAGCCAACATCAGGTTCTCGTCAACACAAGAAGAGCCATTTTTGTATTCCTTTTCAATACTCTCCTTGTTTTCGTTAAGACTGTTACTAAATATGATATGCAGTGGGCAGAAGGTCATACACACTCAAGTTTTTACAGGAAACAAATACGGAAAATAGAAATAAGAAAACTTAATTAGTGCACTGTGTGCAGCCTTACCTTCCTTACCTATAAAGGTCTTAAGTTCTTTGTGTCTTTAGATGGAAGTTCTGTTATTAAATTCTAAATGCACTGCAGTAGACAATGCAGAGCCATGGATATGTTATCACAGTAGTGTACACAGTTCTTAAATGATTCTCTCATTCCTATTTAAGGTAAACTCCATTAATCGACATGGCCTGAAAGGGACCCTTTACTTGCTTCCCACATACCTGAGTTCTGGCACAGTGAATATTATTCCCATGCATAGATGAACAGAAATGCATTTAGCTACAGTGATTTGGAGAGATCTCCATCAGTTCGGTCATTGCCTTTCACCAGCTGGACTACAGTTCAAGTCCCTTAGATGAGAATTTTAAAATCTGCATTTTCTACATGAGCAGTTCAGATTGATTTTAAAAGATAAATTTCTGTGCAGTGAAATGCACAAATCTTAAGTATATAGTTTGATCACATCCCTATCAAGACATAGGACGTTTCCGTCACCGCGCAAAGTGTCCCTTTGCCCCTTCCCAATCAGCCTCTGGCTCCAAGCAACCACTTTCTGATTTCTGTCACCACAGATTAATTTTGCTTATATTTATTTTTATATTTTTGACAAAATAAGTTTATCTCACAGCCTCCAAACACATTTTTAGTGTTTGGAATTCAGACGATTTCTTAAAGGATCATTATTGCTCTGGAAGTTTTAATTTATTTGTAAAACTCAAGGAGACAAAAGGGGAAAAAGAAAAAGGGTCTTCACATTCTAAGTGGAAAAGTTTAGGTTTACATTTACCAAATCACTAGAGACGTGGCCACTGTCACTGGCGACAGCCAGATTAAGTATAGTGACTTTAGGCCTTTAAAGTGTTGAGGCTCAGTGGAGAGAAGTGACATGTTGGCTGATGTCTGCCCCGGACACGTAGGAGCTCTGGTGACTGCCTGGCCCCTTATCGTGGAAAGAGTAGCTGATGGGGCATTAGGACACGTGGTCCCAGGCCGACATTGGCTTTTATCTTACTTTATTCAGTTCCCTTTTGGGCCTCATTCTTTACCTTAAAACAAAAGTGTTGATTTAGATGTTCTCTCAGATTCCTTCTAATTTAGTCTAAAATGTTATGAGTGCTATAAATTTGCTTGTAAAAAGTTGAAGGAAACAACTATTATTTTTCTAAAGGAATATGAGGGAGGAAGGGAGAAAATGTGAAATACTTATTTCCATTTTAAACGCAAGTCCGTATTAAAAATTATTTCAGACCTGAGCGCTATCTGATCAGCTTTTCTGACATGCTCAGCTTCACAGAACGGACTCCCACTTAGTGAAAAAGTGTGGAGAATAAAGTTCATGGGTAAGAGGCCTTTTTTTCTACACTAGAAGCAAAACTGTGACATGCAGATCTCTCCTGTATTCATCCTTGGCTTTCTTATGACTTTTATCACAAAACACTTATTTCTTTTTTACTTCTTTAAAAAATGGGAAGAAAAACTCACTTTTAGAAAGGATGGCAGTGGGCAGAAGGTCATAACCTTAAGTTACACGAGTGTCTGAACGGCCAGGTGCCTATCTGCTTTTCTTTAAGTGCGTGCACCAGAGCTACTAAGTCTGTTGCTCCATTCAGCTGTCTCTGTTTCTCACTTTGTCATCTATAAAATATAAATACTCTATCCTTATTGTTCTAGAGTGAATGCTGAATAATAAAACATTTTAATGGAACTTCCATCTGGTATATAATAGCCAGTATTTATTGAATACACTTATATGTGCCAGACGTGGTATTAAGTGCTTGCATTCGTGCTGCATAGGGTAGGTAGTATTGTTATTTGCATTAATGGTTAGGAAATGGAGGCTCTGAGGCGTGATGTTACTTGCCCAGAGTTAGCACAACTGATAAATAACAGAGCTAGGACTGGAATCCAGGACTTTCTGATTCCAAGGGCTTAACCACTGAATCACCATTTCTGGCCGATACCATGGCAGATGTGTTCCTTCATTCTTACCAATTAAAAATCAATTAATAGATCAGGAATCAGACAAGGATGCCTGTTTTCACCACTGTTAATCAGCATAGTACTGGAAGTCCTAGCCGGAGCAGTCAGGCAAGAGAAAGAAATAAAAGGCATCCAAATTTGGAGTGAAGAAGTAAAATTGTCACTTTTTTGCAGATGACATGATTCTTTATATAGGAAACCCTAAAGACTCCACCAGAAAACTATTAGAAAAATAAACCAATATAGTAAAGTTGCAGGATACAAAATCAATATACAAAAATCTACTGTGTTTTTATGTATACTAATAATGAAATTTCAGGAAAAAAAATGAAAATTCCATTTGCATTTACAACAAAAAAAATTAAATACGTAAGAATAAACTTACAAACAAAGGTTGTGAAGGACCTGTACACTGAAAACTACATTCATTAAAAGAAATTGAAGAAGACACAAAGAAATGGAAAGACATTCTGTGTTCATGGATTGGAAGAATCAACATAGTTAAAATGGCCATATTACCCAAAGCAACATACATGTTTAATGTAATCTCCATCAAAATTTCAATGGCATTTTTTAAAGAAATAGAACAAAAGATCATCAGATTTGTATGGAACCACAAAATACCCTGAAGAGCCAAAGCCGTCCTGAGAAAAAAGAACAAAGCCGGAGATACCACACTCCCTGACTTCAAATTATACTACAACGGCAGTAATCAAAACGGCATGGTATTGGCAGAATAACAGACACACAGACCAATGGAGCAGAATTGAGAGTCCAGAAATAAACCTATATGTATACACACACACACACACACACACACACACACACACACACAAGTAGTTTCTATCAAAGGAGCCAAAAACATACAACAGAGACAAAAAACCTCTTCAATAGTTTGGGCTGGGAAAATTAGAGAGCCACATGCCAAAAGAATGAAACTAGACTGCTGTTTGTCACCATACACAAAAATAAACTAAAAATGGATCAAAGACCTAAATATAAGACCTGAAACAATAAAACACTTAGAAGAAAACATAGGTACTAAACTAATGGACCTTGGTCTTAGACTAGGTTTTCTGAATTTGACCCCAAAGTCAGGGGAAGTAAATGCAAAAATAACTGGGTGGGACTGTATCGTATCGAACTAAAAAACTGTACAGCAAAAAAATGCAACCAACTGAAGGGGAAAAGATACTTGCCAACAACACCTCAAAATACATAAAATCTTACATTTTCACAAGAAAACAATCCCATTAAAAAATGGGCAGAGAACCTGAGCAGACACTTCTCCCAAGGAGACATACAAATAGCAAACAGATATATGAATAGATGCTCAACTTCACTAGGTATTAGGGGAATGTAAATCAAAACCACAATGAGATCTCACGCCTATTAAAATGGCTATTATCAACAAGACAAGAAATATGTTTTGGAGGGGTTGTAGTGAAAAAGGAACTCTCATGCACTGCCGGTAGGAATGCAAATTGGTGCAGCCACCTCGGAAAACACTGTGGAGTTTCCTCGAAAACTCAAGAATAGAGCTACCATATCACCCAGCAATCCTTCTTCTGGGTTCTTCCTGAAAATTTTAAAAACATTTATTCATAAATATATATGTACTCCTGTGTTCACTGCAGCATTATTCACATTGACCAAGACATGGAAACAACCAAAATATCCTTCAATAGATGACATTTAATCTCTAAGAAGCTCTGATACATATATACAATGATGTATACAATGGAATACTACTCAGCTTAAAAATAGATGAAATACTGCCGTTTGCGACAATATGGATGGATCTTGATAACAAAAATAAGTCAAATGGAAAAAGTCAAGACCCATATAATTTTATTCATATGCGGGATATAAAACAAAAAGCAACTAGTAAACAAACAAGACAAACAAAAACTCATGGACACAGACAACAGTATGGTGGTTACCAGAGGGAAAGGGGAGAGGGTGGGAGGTAGAAGAGGATAAAGGGGGTCAGATATTTGGTAGTGGAAGGAGACTTGACTTTGGGGGTTGAACACACAATACAATATACAGATTGTGTATTATAGAATTATGCGCTTGAACATGTAATCTTATTAACCAATGTTACCCCAATAAATTTAATAAGTTTTTTTAAAAGTAATCATGAAAATAGATTTATAAATTAAAAAAGAATCAAATAATAAATTACTTTTTAAATCAATTGCATTAAATATTACTCTCTAAATAATAATATAAAATAAAAATATATCCCAGCAGCTCAAGTTAAATACTTGCTTTCATAGTAGATTTAACAGGCTGATCTAATTGAATAATAATAATAGTATATATTTTAAAGTTAAATATCTGTATTTGTCAAAATATTTTTAAAACCCAAAATGGATAAAAATAAGGGGAATAGTACTACTAAAGAAGTATTAGTACAGAATTCTATATATGAGATTGGCTTGGAAAATTAATCGAATTCACGTTTTCCAGTTTCCTGTTATAGAAAATCATATGTAAAACCATTGTGAAGATATATACTGTTTTGTGTCATAATTGACATGTGGAT